CCATATTGTGTAATCAAGCCCGTGGTTACTTTATCACCTTATAACAGCGCTTCTCAATTATTTTCTGCTACGCCCCCCAGGCCGGGAGAGGAAATACTTCGCGCCCCTCCAACTCTCCACCGCGGCAACGAACAGCACCATCCATAAGTACAGCTCTGCATAACATTGTATCCCTATTAACGTTGAAGAAAACAAAAAACGGAAAGCAAACAAAGAATAATTAACATTATTTTTAGTCTGCCACAAAACATTTAAAATGCATCAAGTTGCCTGAAATTCAAACAAATATGAAATCCTGATTTAAACTCTACTGATATTGCAAAAACCAATTTAATGAAATAAATAATTAATTCAAATTAATCAATAACATGAAGTCAGGAACACACTATTCAAACTACTTCAAACCACAAAACAAAAACGAAGTCAACAATGTAAACGGGTTTTTTAAAAAATATTATTGTAATTAAAAATGAGGAAATCAGCATTAATGGCTCCAATGAAAATGTTTTGCATCGCACAGCTTTTCCAATGGTTCCAACCCCGATACAACTTTCAGCTTCCGCTTCGAGCCAATGCTCCCAGCGCACACTCTGACAATGGGAGCGGCACTGCCGCTTACTGGAAAAACAATGCAATTACAATGACCTAGGATGGGGTTGGGTGGGTGGTTAGCATGTTCCCCGGCGTCATACGCGGCCCCCCAGCATCCCCCCACTATTTAAGAAGGACTGTCTTATGCAGGCAAGAGGCTTTAATATAAACAAGCAATAAAAGTGCGTGCTACTGTGTTAGAAAGCACATATTGGTACATGCCCATACAGTGCAAAGGGTGGAACAAGCATTTCCGTAAAAATATCAATGACAAAAAAAGGTCATTGATATTTTACACTAAGTTGTTTCCCTGGGCCTCCATGCATGACATGCACATTTAATATTGAAGTCTATTTTGGTCCATTATTCAAACAGCTGAAACTGTACATTGCCAAACCCAAATGCCAACTTTGCTAGATGTAGTCTTCAACCCAGTCTACTGGGTCAATATAATGAACCCAAGCTTGGGTAAAACTAATGTATACCTTTAAAACTGCTTGGTAAAAAAAAAAAAGTGGGGGGTTCAAAAAATGCACCGACCCGGTTCTTGGGTCAATTCCACTCAACATTGGGTTTTTTGTTTTTCTATCAAAATAACCCAAACGTTGGGTCAAATTGGCCCACATAGCAGGTCAGTCCAATTATTTTATTTTGTACCAAGGTTGTGTTATTTTTGACAAAGTTTTTAAGAGTGTACACTTTAAAACAGTTGGGTCAGAAATAACCCAAAGCGGGTCAAAAAGGGAGGAACCCAATATTTGGGGTTATTTATCTCGCCCAAAAGGTGGGTCGAATTAATAACCAATAAAACACAATAGGGGGGGTTTTGACCCATGGGTAAATGAATAATCCAAAAAGTTGGTTCGATGCTTTTTGACCCAATTTATCTTATTTTTGACCCAGCTGTTGTTAAGAGTGTCATCTGCTCAAAATCCACAGCGACAACTGCAAGTGGTTTGGGAGCATAACCCAGCATTTTTAGTGCGTATATACACAAACGTTATATTTCATCTGTCACATATTTTCTACATAATGAAAAGGTGAAATGGTTGGTTTCTTGCAATATCACTTGATTAGTACAATGTTGTTGTTGTTTTTTTTTGTTTGGTTTTTTTTTTACGCTTGGATGCCAAATTTACAGTTTGAGGAATGGTTTTATGAGAAATTAGGGCCAATTGCATTTCAAGATGAGAAAACTGCCGTTTAAAATGTCGGTCAAGCTGTCATATAGGAAAAATGCATTTGCCACTACGAATGCTAATTAATTAATTTAGTATTCATTTACTATTATTATTAAATTCAAAAGGTGAGGGGATGAATATAACATTCTATACATTGACTAACTTCATTTGTAAATATATGGTAGCAAGCCAGGTCCAAATGGTTTTACAGCTAGTCCTTATAAAATATATTTTGGGGAAAGGACAATATTTGCAAAAGCGTGCGATATGTAGATCATAATTCACGAAGTTCATGGTGATCAAAGACTTTGCAGTGAGAACTCCACACGAAACTGGCGGCGCGTTATTCGGCTGCATGCAGCTTTGGCGTTTTTCCACCAAAGCGGGCGAGCAGATGCTTCCAGTTGTGCGGCACACACACACACACGAGTGCAACAAGTGCACATTGGAAAGTACAAACACATTGAAATAAAAGGGGGGGGGAAAGTGTTTTTAAACAAGTGCACAGTTAAGTAATTGGATTTTATGCCCTCTTCGCGCTCGCTCGCGCCTTTCTCTCCATGGTGCTCCCGGAAAAAGAAGCTCTCTCCAAAACTCTCCAGACGTCTGCTGAGGCTTTTCTTTCACGATCTCCCCATGCTCTTTTTCAATCTTTTTTCATTTTAATTCTTTGACATCGCTCGCGGGATCAAATATAGACTAGCGGTTCTTTTATTTTATTTTTTTTGAGGGGTGGGGGCCTGGGTGGGGGTGCATGAAAAGCTCCGTGAAAAGGCGAGACTGCATGCGAGCCGTCTTGTTTTGACGCATGAGAGCCGTCCGGGTGCACGCACACAATAAACCTGTTGTTAACCTTGCTGCTGCAGATATGTTTGAAGCAAACAGCCAATTGTTGTACGAAATGTATTCAAGTATAAAATAATGCCCTTTGTTTGGAGAGGGGAAAAACTTTGAGGGCCTTCAGCAGCCGCCTTTGTGCACTTTGCGCCTTGGCGTCCCCGCGTTGGCGCATTCCCCGGGCGCCTTGAAACGCGATTGTTTCTCGCTTTCTAATGACATTTACCGGATCAAAACACGCTGTTAATTCGATCAGAAGGCCTCACCCCTCGCAACAATGGCAGTATAATTTCTCCCAAAGTTTGTTAAGTTGACCGAAATTAGGCAAATGAATAGGGGTCTCCAGGCTATCCATCTCGCAGGTGACGGCGGATAATGCGCGCTCCCACCAGCTGCATTCTTCTTTATTTCTCCCTTTCTTCGCAGAGCATTATTAAAATTTAGGCCAATGAAACTATTCAAGGCACTGAATGGACATTTTCTTATAGGATAATAGGATACAAATTGAGCCCCCTCCAAAAAGGGGTCTCCAGTGGCGGCTCCTCGCGTGCGCCTTGACGCGGACCAACGCTCGTGTGCCAGCAGGCCCCCGCAAGGCACGCAGGCATGCACCTGCCCTCGCCTGCACCCAAAGAAAACATCAAGAATAAAAATGAAACCAAGAACGCCCCCCCTCTCAAAAAAAAAAAAAACACAACAAAACACAAGAATAAATCGTGTGACGCTAAGGGGGTGTCCAAAAAAGACCTCTCGTAAACTTGGCGGAACCGCCTATTTAAAGCTTACTTAATTAGTCTAATGGCAGTGGACAGGCCGTACATGACATTGGGATTGTGTGTGTTTGTTTGTGTGTGTGTGAGAGACACGGAGGACGACCAAACAGGCCGTCGTGTGAGGAAAAAAACAGACGCCCTCTTCTCTTTTTGTTTTTCTTTCTTATTCTTGTTTGGTTGTTTTTGGCCGTGCGCTCATGCATGCGCCTCTCTCGTCCCAAGGCTTTCCCGCCTCACCCTCGACAATGCAAATAGGATCCCACGACGAATCACGTGGCTTTCAAGCAGCCACGTGGGTTAACAAAGCCAGGTTAGCCCCCTTGACACCCGCAACCCCCCCC